CCCAATTTTTCCAGGGGGGGGGGGGGCGTATATAATGGACAAAAATAGCCCAGTCAGGACAGGGATAAAACAATAGAAAAAACTAGAAAAGAGTACAGTAAACAAATAAATTTATTATTCTAGGAGATACAAACTTATTAAAAACATGACTTTTTCGAACAATAATAAAGATAACAATGTTATTGGTTTTGGCACCGAAGTCTTAAATTTCATATGAGGAGCCCATCAGAAGGCTAATAGTAATAACTTAAGAGCTCCAAAAATGTGTAATTTTTTCTTTTCCAACCATCATTTGTTTTAGGAAGATGCTAATTTTGTCTCTTTTCTTGGAAGTTCTAAAAATTAGTGTTAAAGAACAAATCATGTTATTTCAAAGGTATACACTATTACGGCTTATAAGACTGTACTTAAATTGCATACAAATTAAAAATGTGNTTTATTGAGATTAAGCAGTGAAATTATTTTTTTTTTATATAATGTGAAAATACATTTCAAACCCCAAAAGCAAATTTATTTTCATCTTTCAAAATGTCAATATGTTATTACCAAAGCAGTATAAGCTCATATAAAAAAAAATCAGTTCGTTTTGCAAATTTCTTTTTGCGACGTTTCGTAATAAAAAGAAAGAATCACGAATATTTTCAATTTCAAAAATAAACCAATTATTCTGATTTTTTTATACTGCTTTTAATTGGAGTTACTTAATCTTTAGATAATATTGCACACATTATAATATCACCATTACCAATATTTGGTTTCAGACGAACCTCGACAAAATTTATTATACAGGGTGTTCCGGCACACCCTGGAAAAAAGCTGCACTAAGTTTAAACAAAATCTAACTACAGGGTGTCCCAGTATAGACTATTTTTCCGGCACACCCTGTAAAAAAGCTGCACTAAAATTAAACAAATCTAAATTTCAAATTGTTTTTTTTTATCTATATATCTTCCATCTATCTGCCATTTATCTGCCATCTATCTGCCCGTCCAGAAGTCCTCGACAACATCAGCCATGTTTGTATCTCCGCTAGTTTGGTGAAGCAGATCCAGTTTATCCTTTATTCGTTCATCCACCTCCTCCAGCAGGCTTAGAGGACCATGGGGCTGGTCAACACCCTGGACATAGTTCACATTTAAAGGGAGCATGACTGGCTAGAAACGGTAGTTAAGCTGAGAGTTAAGATTTATTTGAGGCATATCATACTTTTTCTTGGTGCATATTTGTTAAGCAGAGCGCAAATTCAATCTTTAAAATTCTCATACATTATTTATTTGAAGGGATAATTTTGAAAATCGGTTTTACATTAATTATTCAATAACGACGACGAAAATTGTAACAAAAATTCTATATTAAACTAATTAGATGTTCTTAGCTCAACTCCATGTCTAGCTGCAGACACTTCCTTTAAAGGGAATACAAATTAAACACTGAAAAGGGATTTCCAAAGCCTTATCTGAAGCATTGCCCTTATAAGAGGTTTGTCAGATCAAGTATGAATTAGATATCATGTTTTCATTTTGAAAAACTGAATATTTTTAATTGGTTTTTGTAATTTTGAGCATCCAAAGACATTCCCTGGAGTCATGTGAGGCCCCACAAAAATATTAGGACGGTATATAAAAAGAAGGTGAATGAAAAGTTTTCATAAAGTTAATAAAGATGCATAAAATCGACACATTAAGCTTTTTGGACTTTTCATCTTTTTTACAAAACATTTTCTTAAATTTCTTTCCAGCTTACGGTTTCTTCAAACATATATCAATGTTTTCATTTTCTTTTATGAAATATAGTTTAATTTTTTTTTCGCTTAATGACAAAATTATTAAAGAGTTGAAAGAAGACAAACATATTGCTAGGCTATATAGTTCAAGTCAAGGATGTAATGCAAGGAAAAATATTTCAGAAGAGTACGCATCTTTTGTACTGCTGTGTACTGTCTTTGGACGGTAATGTAAACACAAGACGGATATTACAGCCTGACATGGGATCCATCTTTTCACATAAAAAAATCAATGCAATATTCTGGTCATAGGAAACTATTATGTGAATTATCAAAATTAAAAAAATTTAATGCATTAAACCTCCTCGGATACTAAATGAACACTTATGCATCTGTTCTTGTTTACAAATTCCGCCCAAAGAGAACTGGTTTCAATATGTACGCAGAGTATACACGACCGCAATTATCTTTCCTTGCATTACATCCTTGGTTAAAGTTATTTTTTTAAGTTGGATTTCGCAATTTACTTGTAAAGTAATTTCATTCTCTACTCATCAAATTGGTAAAGAGAAAAAGGGCATCTGTACAGTGATAACTAGAAAACTGTGGAATAGTAAGACGACATCAAAGCAATTCTGAAGGGCATTTGATGTTTTTACAAGGCAAAAAGCTTTACTAGTAAGTTATTAAACCACTTATTAAGTAAAATGGGTCTGTTTACAATGCACAATTACTGTATCTTATGTTAAATTGAGTTTAAAAGTCGACTTACTATTCCAGAGTTTTTGATTATCACTGTATGACATACAGTGGTCGACGATTATATCAACACGATGAAGACGACTTTTGATCGCTAATGCGTTGATCAATTTTCAAATTACAAGTTTACAAGAAACGATTAAAAATTTTTTCTATATAAATGTTTCAATGTTTCTGCTGTTTTAAAGATCGGAAATTGAAAAAGAATGTCGTCTTCATTGTATTGATAAATACGACTACCACTGTACTTTATCATTTAATTAGAATACTTTTAAATATAAAACTAACCTTTCCATAGACAACATTTTGACCTGTATTCGGCGAGCTATTCCCACCATTATCTAGGCCTACGATAATAAGGAAAAATTATTTAATTTTTTTTCATATATATTTGATAGATTATCATTAATTTGTCCCCCCTCCCCTCTCCTCCTATTCTTTAAATAACTTTATGAATAAAAATTTCTTGATATAAAACAAAAGTAATAAAAAGACCTTCTTCCAAACCAACATTTTCCAAAAAAACATAAAACCTTTCAGATAAAACTACACACCAGATGTTTCCAGAATATATTGGGGAGCACTGACTGATCCAACCGCATGCGGTGCTATCTAAACATTACAATCCAAAGTTAATATCTCTCCGTTGCATCTTTTGTTTGGAAAACTGAAAGCCAAGATGATCGAAAGAAAATCACATTACCAACAAAAAGTTATTATATTTTAAAATAAAAAATCCACGAATGTTTCACAAAAAACCCTCTAAGCACAGGATTTATTGTTATTTGATCATCTCAATTCCTACCATTAAATCACATTTACATATATAGCACGTGTCAGTAAGTGCAGTGAATTTTTGAGGTAGAAATTTAACTAATTCATAATACATTTTTACTATTATTTGTGTCTACTATCTAGTGGAATTTACCTGAGGAGTTTTATTGTCACTGTAAGAAAACGAACTCGCAACACTAAACAATGTATAATATGTTTTTATCAAACTAGAATTCTAAAATTAAATTTATGAATATTTTGTACAAACATATTTTATCTTTGCCCTTTTTCGTTTTTTTCTACATTTATCAAAATTTGCAACAAAAATAATAAAGTTTTATTCTATAGCTTTTGTGCTGAAAAGATTTTCATATTAACGTTTGAAAAGTAATCCTTCATGGCAAACAGTAATTTTTTTCTTGTTTATTATTGTAAAATTAAAGTTATAATATTTTTTCTTAACAAACCATCAAAACAAAAAGCCCAAGCTAAGTACAAGTGGGGTGGGGTGGGGTGTGACGTGTACAGCTATATTTTATTATCTTAAAACTATTAACTTAACATATATATAATTATTTTTTGAAGAATTTTACGCAAAATTTAAAAAGTTGTTTACCTGAGTAAAACTGGTTTTCCTGACTCCAAATCACTGGTTTTTACAAGAACATCTTGAACATTTCCCACCTTTAAGAATAAATGAATGAATTGTTGTGAAAACAAAATATTAATTCTAGGGATATTGTGCAAAATTAGATTTTGGCAAATTAGCATTTGAATTTACAAAATTCTTTTGATATTTTAAAAGAGAACCTTGATTTCTGCAGCTGGATTATATATTGTTTCAAATGAATGAAAATCCGCTGAATTATTTTCATAATCGTCTTCCTTGATGTCACTAACGTCCATCTTGCCATCTGTGGTTTTATCAAGAACTCGGTAAACACTGTTTATCGGAGCATCAACCTAAAAAAACAAACATTTTATCGTTGTCTTTGTTGATCGATTAATAAAAGCATTAAATACAGACAAAAAGTAATTTTTCCCCAGATTTCTTATCTTTTGATGCGAATCTAATCACTCTAAACTAAGCTTTCGGTGTGTCTTGCAGTAATTAGCAGTACTTTGACCAAAGGATTAAATAGTGGGGTTCAGTGGAGAGTGTTATATCTCTTAAATGCGTGGCTTGGATAAAAAAGGACAGTGTGTGACCTTTAAAAGTATTACCATTAAACTTCTTTGAACTCCTGTTTTAGGAATGTACGGTAAATCTGCAGTTTCCGATCTAAAGTGTGTCAACTGCATTGTGCTCTCCGCTGAATTTTCCGCTATCTTGTTTTCTCCTGAATTTCCCGCCAAAATTAGTTCAGTTAATGTTCCCGCATGTTCTGGAGAACTGTCGCGGGAAAATCTTAAGTTCGGCACCAAGCCATCAAGACTATAAACTGGATTTATTTCCGAGTAGTCTCCGTCCATCTCGTCGTAGTCATAATCACCAGCATAGTCTTCAGGGTAAAAACGATCATTTAATTGATCCTGATCTGATAGGTTGGGTGTATAGGGTAGAACAGAGGTTGGGATATTTACAACAATATTTCCTCTATCTCCTACTTCAGTCTCCAGGCCCTTCAAATGCATTAATTTAGAATTTTAAAAATTACTTAATGAAATTAGTATTGTTAAATATTATTTTTATTATTATCATTAGTATCATTATTATTATCAATATCAATATTTTAATCATTATCAATATTATTATAATTATTTCATTATTATTATCATTATTTTTAGGGTATTTATTTTGATTAATTACAGACCTGAAATGAGTCCATTCTATCCATAGCAGTGTCTATTAGAGCGTCTTTCTCCGGGTTATCATAGATACTAAAGGCAAGGGTTGGAGAATTATTATCTGAAGGAAGAATAGGACGGAATCCAGATTCGGAGACAAGTCCAACATCCTGGAACACTCCGATTCCTATTCCGGAGGGATCCTAAACAAATAATTTTACTCCAATACTTCAGTTTGGGTTCACTAGACGGGCTGGTACAATCGATTAAATGTGTATGCAATTCGATTGAATTCCCATGTGGTGATCACTGTTCGACGGTTATACCCGGAAGGAATATCTAAAATGAAGGGACCTTTTCAACCAAATTTAAACGTTGGCACTGTGGATATCAATATCAAATGTTGTAGATTAGCTTGAAAACTTACACAGGTTTCAACCTCAGGTCCTTTGTTGGTTTAAGTAAAGAAAATATTTACCTTATTGTTTGCTTGATTTTCTACTGCATCCAGGGATTCTTCTACGGAGTAAATATTTGAAGGAGAATAGAGCTGATCTCTAAATACAGATTTAAAATTAGCTGGGAATTCTTCCAAGGAACTGATTGCTTACCTTGAACTTTAATTTTCTGATACTTATATCTTTGCAACCTGAGATGAAAACTTTAGAATGGTGAATATCAAGATCAATGCTTGATCTTCTGGTTTTACTAAACCAGAGATTAGGTTAATACGCAATCGATATCAGAGAAAGAAGTTTAAAATTCAACCAATCAGCGTGCCATGTTAAGAAACGAAAGGAGGCCTTCACTTCCTCATTGATTTATTCTCTTCTACAGTTGAAAAAAACTCGAACACAAATTTAATTAAAAAATTAAATTTCTCGTATATTTACATTTGATCACATATTTCCAATATGGCCGACATAAACTTGAAATCAAGAACTTGAAACTTTTATGGAGTTCGATCATTGGTAAGAATTTATGATCAAGTCTCTCATTGGTCAATATAATTTACTAACTTTCCCGCATTCGTCGTATTCCACTACATAAGTATCCTAAAGAACGGTTTAAGAAGAACTGAAAAATGTGTTTATTGGATACTCAAATTAAGTAATCACTGTCCAAATTTAATGAATTTGAGCCGTGGCTTAAATCTGCCAAAAACCGGTTTCAATTGATCTTAAATCTTGAAAAATTGAATAAATTTATAAGTGGAATCAACCATATTTGAGCCGCGGTTTAAATTTAAGCCACGTCTCCAATTCTTTAAATTAGGCCTCTGGATTAAGGATATCTCATTCAAAAGTTTTCGGCTCAGAAGTCATAAACCTTTGATAATGCCCAGCCCACATGCCCTTGAAATCAAAATGACAAGGTTTGACATATTGATGGTTAACAAAATCTGAGCTGAAAACTTTAGAATGGATAAACTTTAATCCTGACTTCTTGATCCGAATATCCACTGTGGAAACTTTTCATTTTAGTCCTTAATCCACTCTTTTTCTCTCTCCTTGGATGTCCGTTAATTGTTTTCTCCAATGAGAATATTTCTGTTCTCTCATTGGTTTCCCGCTTTTCTCTGATTGGCTGCAACAGTTTCTCAGATGATTAAATATTAATTTGAATTTTATCGTTTTTCATACACTTTTAAGATAATCTTGCAAGATTATGTTAATCTGGAGATTAAGAAAAAGAGTGGATTAAGCCTTAATCCTGATATCCACCATTCAAAAGTTCCCAGCTCTGGTTGCAACTACATTACAATTATAGGTGAGTTATCGGTTTCATTCAGAACAGACTTAATTAAAATTTAGGCTGTATTTACATTTTTTTATGAAATACTTTACCATTACCTTTCATAGATATTCCCGTTATACTGGGAGAAGGGGTTGGAGTCAAACTTATTCTTTAATCCAGGTCTAAAAATATTCTTCTTCTTGTCTTTCAAGATTTCAGCTTTAAAATATAAGTTAACATTGTTTAATATTATTGATACCATAGATTACCAACAATACAGATGGAATGCTCTCTCTCTCTGTCTTATAATTTAACGCGGCATATTCATGTAAATCCTTTGGGCCTCTGCCTCAGGGTTATCGTGAACGAAAAAACCCTAAATCTTTAAAAGACGACATATAGTGTTCTATCTGTATTTTTATTAATCTATGATTAATACCTTTTCCCATTGTTAAAACGCCTATTTCCCTTCCTACGCCTCTCTGGTCGTCCGCCCCCTTGGCTTAGCATATCTCCGCTGCTTCTATACAAAGATCCGCCTCCTCTGTAGAGGTCTCCGCCATTTGGTCGATCTGCTCCCATTATACTAAAATAAAAAAATAATTAAAATAAAAAATAGCATAACACAAATCTACACAAAGTAACTGAAATCAACACAAAATAACAACAATTGACAAAAATTAACACAACTTAACACAACTTAATTAAATACAGCTCAACAAAATACAACACACATCAACACATATTAACGCAAAATAACTGAAATCAATACAAATTAACACAAATTAAGAAAACTAAACACAAATTAACACAAATTAAATTAAATCAACACAAAATTTAACACAAAATAGCAAAGATTTATACAACTTAACTGAACTTATCTTAAAACAACACAAATTAACACAAATTAACACAATTTAACTCAAATCAACACAAATTTGTGCAAAAATTTTAGAAAAATCATACATATAATAATCAAGTATTCAAACTTAATCAAAACAACAAAATATATGGGTTTTTTTCTTGAGACTCAATTTCAAAATATTCACTGAATTTAATAATATTTATCTTTTTGTTCAAAAGTCCTAATTTGAAATTATATATTTGCCAACCTTACCTTCCCTAACCTTGTCCATTAATCCACCCCACCTCACACAACCGGCCTTTGTAGAACAAAGGAATTGAGTCTTTGCTGCAAACTCTGATTTTGATATTCCTACATCTTTGCAACCCAATGTTGTAAACCTTTGATATTTCAAACTATGAATTCTGCCAGATCAAATAATCTAAGTTTGCAATATTAAATGAGGTTACAAAGCTTTAGGGATTAGAAAATTTTAGCTAATGGCGAATTTACCCCCCCCCCCTTTTCTTCCTCCAAAATGACAAATGACCAAAACTATTGAAACATTGAAATCTAGAATCATAGATTAATTAATAAAACAACTAGAACAATCTGATAATTAAACAAACAAAAACAATAGTAAACAAAATATATTTAAAGTGATGAACAGGAGAACTTGATCCGTTAGGAAACCTAAACAAAATATATTTAAAGAAAGATACAGGATTACCCACAAGTAATGAGACTTCAGAGACGACTGTACAGAATTTATGCTGTCTGTTTACATAAATTATTAAGTCCCTGCAACTGTAATCCTTTTTCTTCTTATAAAAACAGAAGACTTGTTCCACCCTTGGGATCGTAATAATTTGAAAGTTTCAGGACGGACTCTCATCTCTTGTGGGTTACCCTATAATTAATTACCTGTGTAAGGAATGTTTAGATGTCGTCTTTTTAAAGGCTGGAAAGTTGCTGGGTGGTGGTAAAGGTGCAGGATAGTTTAAACTGGGAAGATTTGACTGTGCAGGATTTCTATATCCCATCAATCCATCATTCATGGGTCTCGAGGGGTAGCTATGAGAAGCACCATCATTTATCCTGGTCCTTAGAGGAGCTGGGGTTAAAGAGTATATAGGACTGTTTTGCTCAACTTCAAACCTTCGCAAAGAATTAGATTTGGTTCCAATATTTTCTTCAACCCTTTTCCTTTTAAACATGTCTCTGATAGGATTGAATAAAGCCTGAAAGGGATTTTTTTGAGGAGATTCTGGCTTTTTTTCATAAAGTCCTTTCTTATATTTATCCTGATTAGCCAGGCTGAACTGAGAAAACGTCTCAGGGGGCGGCAGTAAACTCGGCAAATTCGTTTCAACTTCTTCAACAATAGGAGGATATTTTGCAACAGGTCGCTGGGTATAAAACTCGTATGGAGGAGGGTCTGGTGTTCTAATGGAGGGCTGAGTAGTTCTGGAGTAGGTTTCATCCCTCTCCCTGTATCCATCCCTCCGGGGCGTATTCTCATACCTTTACATATTAATATATTATAAAGAAAGCACATTAAAATAAACTGAAGTGCTCGTATCATTGAAATATTTAATTTTAATCATTTATTGTAGAGCTATTGAGAAGAACAAAGTGTTTTGAATCACTAATCTGTAACCTTAATCAGAACTAGAGAAGCTATAAGGTCACAAAGTCGTACTAGTAATTTGAAATATTTTACCTTCTTCTACTGTTTAGTTTATCGGGAAAAAATTAAAATAGAAAAACATGCCAAAAGTCAAGATTTTCAAGGGCTTCTCTTATAAAATAGCGAGACACCTTACTTTAATAGTTGAAATGATAAGGAAGTTTTAAAAGGAATTGAGTCTTTGCCACAAACTCTAATTTTCTAATCCCTATTCTTTGCGACCCAATGCATTTTGTTAGATCAAAAAATCTAAGTTTAAAATAGCTGTAGCTCAAATAATAAAGTTAGCTTTTCGATGAGAGGACCAGAGGTCAGAGCTCTAGTACCTTGATCCTGATCCTGACTCAAGAGTAGGTTGAGCAGAAGGAGAAGGAGAGGGAGAAGATGGAGGAGAAGGATTGGATGTTCCGAATCCACTGAACCCAGGCATATTTGAAAACAGGTTCGGAAACCCGGATCCAAATCCGGATTCACCTAAACATTTTTAAAGTAATTTTAAATAACCCGTCATACATATGACCAATTCACAACAGGACCATTTAAGCCTTTATATATTCGGTTTTTAATTGAGGTTTAATTCCCAAAATTAGTTTTTTGAAAACACTATTTAAACCTTATAACGGCCAGCTCATTGAACTTCAATAGTTCGGGTGCTTCTGCTAGGGAGGTTTTAAAGCAATGTCAAATATCAAAACATTTTATATTTTTAACACCGACTGACCGGGCCTAATTCAAATCTTGTATCAAAAATAATGTTTGCATAAAAACTTTTTGTACTTTTCCTTAAAAGTTAAAACATTTTAAGTTGTCAAAAATGAGAATGCGAGGGCAAAAAATTAAGAGGGGCTTCGAACCCCCTCATAGCCTGTATAGGGTTAAGATAAACGTCTAGGGTTACTATCAGTTACCAGGTATTTCATGTTTCCCCGGTATTAGCCCCACGAAACCAGGATATTTTATATTTCCCCGGTATTAGCCCCACAAACCAGGATATTTCATGTTTCCCCAGTATTAGCCCCACAAAACCAGGATATTTTATGTTTCCCTGGAATTAGTCCCACAAAACCAGGATATTTCATGTTTCCCCAGTATTAGTCCCAAAAAAACCAGGATATTTCATGTTTCCCCGGTATTAGTCCCACAAAAACCAGGATAGTTCATATTTCCCCGGTATTAGTCCCACAAAAACCAGAATATTTCATGTTTCCCCAGTATTAGTCCCACAAAAACCAGGATATTTCATGTTTCCCCGGTATTAGCCCCACAAAACCAGGATATTTCATGTTTCCCCGGTATTAGCCCCACAAACCAGGATATTTCATGTTTCCCCGGTATTAGCCCCACAAAAACCAGGTTAGTTCATGTTTCCCCGGTATTAGTCCCACAAAAACCAGGATATTTCATGTTTTCCCCGTATTAGTCCCACAAAACCAGGATATTTCATGTTTCCCCGGTATTAGCCCCACAAAACCAGGATATTTCATGTTTCCCCGGTATTAGCCCAACAAAAACCAGGATATTTCATGTTTCCCCGGTATTAGCCCCACAAAAACCAGGATATTTCATGCTTCACCGGTATTAGCCCCACGAAACCACGATATTTCATGTTTCCCCGGTATTAGTCCCACGAAACCACGATATTTCATGTTTCCCCGGTATTAGTCCCACGAAACCACAATATTTCATGTTTCCCCGGTATTAGTCCCACAAAAAACATTTTGACTTTAATATTAAACTGATTGTTTGTGTATGGTGTAAACCAGAATAATTTTATACTTTTGCAAGAAATAGGATTTATTGCCAAGTTTACAGTTTGCAGAAAACTAAACATTTTAGATCCAAGATATTGCACAGCCTAGCACTTAAATATCTATATATGTTTAATGAAAAAAGTTTGCAAATATCATAAAAGAATATTATATTGGCGAATTTAGATTGGGCGAAAGTGTCCTAGGTGAACATCTGGGCCGGCGAAAGTGTTACTCAGCATAATAATAATTACCCTAAATCCACCGGATATTCCGGTTCCGTTTTTGCCGGAAGTTTGAAGGCAATGTTTTTCTTTTTTTCCGACGGAAAAGGGTGCCCGAAATTCCTTTTTTGCGGAATTTCCAGAATTTGACACTCTACCTAAAATTACTTTTTGATTGTGACGCTTCGAGATAAGAAATAGTTTTTGCTTTCAGTGATGGGGGGGGGGGAGGGGGGATGTTTGTTCTGTATGAAATGTTATTTTTAACAAATATCCTTAGTGATGACATTTTTAAGAATACCATTTTTAAAAGTCAATGGCCATTAATTCATATTTTCGAGTTTGTATTTTTTATTGGCGACAACTTTTTGTGATTCAATTTTTGGTCTGGTTAGATACTTTTCTGGTATTTTTAACCAGACCTTTTAAACCTTTGATTTTTCCATCAGGGGCGTACGAGGGGGGGGGGGCCGCGCCCCCCCCCCCCCCTCTACGCGTGCCCCCCCTCTTTGCAACAAATCCCAATTTTCTAATACCTAAATATCTACAACCAAATTATGTAAACCGTTGATATTTCAAACTTTGATTGTTTGATATAACAGAAGTCATAGTTTGAAATTTCTGAGGTCTACAACTTTGGGTTGTTAATATATTGGGATTTAAAAATCAGAGTTTGTGGCAAAGACTCAATTTCTTTCTGTTTATCATTTGTGTTAATGTTTACAATCTTTATTATTGTTGTTACGCAAAAACTAGTTCTCCAGCAGTCCAAAAACGTCACAGCAAAGTGTACGGAAACCCTATTGCCCCCTCCTTGTATTCAATCTCAAGAACTGACGAGGGTCAACCCAGACCGAAATATATTTTCAATAAATGTGGAACTAACATCTACTTTTTACTCTACAGAGGTTTGGTCCATCACCATCACCGAATTTTAAATTCAATTCTCCTTGCAGTACACCTATATACAGTATATCATTATACAGTATACCGATAGAGGAATTATTTAGATAGTAAATACTATTCTACCGTCTTTGGTAAATACTATTTCTTATTCATGAACAAATACCTGAAATATTCATTTTATCTGAATATTTCAGTGTAATATGATAATAAAACATGTTTGTCTACTCAAAACAGATTTGTAACATTTCGTCCTGTTTTTTATCAGTAAATAATAAAATTAACTAAATCTAAAACAACAAAACACGTTTTATAACGTTCAAGAGGATATATATATATATACTTTTAATAATAAAATTCATTGAAATTCAAATATGTAACTTAAAAACGAAACAAAGTCTGGGAAGAAATCATCATCATTAGAATACTGTTGGAGACCCCCTTTCAACTTTAACTACCCAACATTGCCGGTCTGTCCCTTAAACTACCCTACATAGCCGGTCTGTCCCTTTAACTACCCTACATAGCCGGTCTGTCCCTTTTATCTTTAACTGCCTTACACAGCCGGTCTGTCCTTTTAACTACCCTACATAGCCGGCCTGTCCCTTTTATCTTTAACTACCTTACATAGCCGGTCTGTCCCTTTTATCTTTAACTACCTTACATAGCCGGTCTGTCCCTTTTATCTTTAACTTACACAGCCGGTCTGTCCTTTTAACTACCCTACATAGCCGGCCTGTCCCTTTTATCTTTAACTACCTTACATAGCCGGTCTGTCCCTTTTATCTTTAACTACCTTACATAGCCGGTCTGTCCCTTTTATCTTTAACTACCTTACAAAGCCGGTCTGTCCCTTTAACTACCCTACATAGCCGGTCTGTCCCTTTAAGTCTTTGTCTGATAAAGTATGAATATAAATTCACATTTTTTTACTTGAAAATTTATCAGTTTTTAAATTTGGTTTCTCACCAAAAGCTCGACAACGACGACATTATCTCTTTATCAATAAGAAAAACAGAATCTAGAACACAAGAATGTATTTTTGATCTTACCGTTGTCATCAAACCTATCGAAGGCAAAGTCTGCAGGTTTAGCAGGAGGTCCAGAGTTCAAGTTGTCTGTGTATAATTCTGGTATAGGTCCAGATCTCAGGGTGGGGGAATACACAGAAGGTTTAGAGGTTGAGAAAATACCCAAGGAAGAGGTTTTGAATGGAGGAGGTTTAAAAATCAGAGGTTTTCTTGTTGGTTGAACGTAATCATCATAATCCTCATATTCATCATCATCATCATCATCATCATCATCATCATTCCAATCAAAGTTTGTGAAATTCTCATTACAGTCATCATCTAAGCCCTCCTAGAAACATACAGGGTTACCCCCAAAGTATAAGGCTTTCAAGACGACATACAGCTTTTTAATTCAGCGATCAAAGTGTAAATTAAGTTTAATGCATACTTTAAATACAGGAAACAAAATTATTTGTACAGGAAGAAACCTGTTCATATTCAGATAACAAGTGAGTAAAATAAGGAAACAAACTGGGGATAACAATTCTTTACGATTGCTATACAGGGTTACCCACATCGGATGAGACTTTAATGACAACAAAAACCTCTTTAAGTCTTTGGCTCTTGACTGAAATTAAGTCCATTCATTATAAATTAAGAATTTGGCAAAAAAAAGCTGTAAGGAACCATGAATTTAAAAAAAGCTGTGGGGAACCATGAATTTAAAAAAAGCTGTAGGGAACCTTGAATTTAAAAAAAGCTGTAGGGAACCATGAATTTAAAAAAAGCTGCAGGGAACTATGAATTTAAAAAAAGCTGTAGGGAACCATGAATTTGAAAAAAGCTGTAGGGAACCATGAATTTAAAAAAAAGCTGTAGGGAACCATGAATTTAAAAAAAGCTGTAGGGATTCATGAATTTAAAAAAAGCTGCAGTGAACCATGAATTTAAAACAAGCTGTAGGGAACCATGAATTTAAAAAAAAGCTGTAGGGAACCATGAATTTTAAAAAAGCTGCAGGGAACCATGAATTTAAAAAAAGCTGTAGGGAACCATGAATTTAAAAAAAGCTGTAGGCATTCATGAATTTGAAAAAAGCTGTAGGGAACCATGAATTTAAAAAAAGCTGTAGGGAACCATGAATTTAAAAAAAGCTGTAGGGAAAGATGAATTTGAAAAAAGCTGTAGGGAACCATGGAATTTGAAAAAAGTTGTAGGGATTCATAAATTTAAAAAAAGCTGTAGGGAAAGATGAATTTGAAAAAAGCTGTAGGGAACCATGAATTTAAAAAAAGCTGTAGGGATCCATGAATTTAAAAAAGGCTGTAGGGAACCGTGAATTTGAAAAAGCTGTAGGGAACCATAAATTGGAAAAAAGGATTAGATAATTTCTGTAACAGTCGTTTCTGAGGTCTAATCCTATATGGGTATCTAATTAATTTTAATCCTGTAAAAACGGCAAAAGGCATTTTAAAGTAGCTTTTGTAGTAGATTTTGACACCCAATTCAAAGAATTGGGTAAACAGACATGAAAAATGAAAAAAAATCAGGGAAGGAGTTTATGGATGATAGAAATTTGCCTCCAACAAAATTCAATTTACATAAAATTTTGAAAATCCATTTTTTTTAAAGATAAATTCCGCAAAATGTTTTGTTGTTTTCGTTAACAATGTATACAAAGAGAAAATGTTCACAATTCAAACAGAAGATGGGCGCGCGCGCCCTTAAAGCCTAGTATTTCTAAATTTTACTACTGATAATAAATGAGTTAGCCAGTTGGACACATTAACCCCCCCCCCCTCACCTGACCACCTTACCTTTAAAATATCGGTGACTGGAAAATGTTCAAACTGCGGCATGGAATTCTGGAAACTTCCATTACAGACCTTCTTTTTACTTTTTTCCTTCTTCTTTTTATTTTTAGTTGGTTTCTCCGAGGTTCGAGGAACTTTCGCCCTTACCGTCGCTGTTCCAGGATTCCTGTCAGTAAATTGGGAATATTAAAGGGACTGTTAAGGTAAAATGAAGCCTAAATCTTTTGGGAGTTGATCGCGACAATATTAGTTCTATCTGATGTCCATATCTTGAAAACTTTATATCAATTTCTCTAGACAAGAACATCAGATAGAACGCGATCAACTCCTAAAATTATTAGGCTACAGCCTATACCTTTCTTGCAAAATTTTCAAGAAATTCACAAAGTTCGTTAAAATTTTCAACCTTTCATTCTAAATCTTTTTTTTCCAAAATACAATCTTCTTAATGCGAAATGAAAAAATTTCGATTTTTATCGAACGAAAATTGAAAGAAAATTTCTCGAAAATGATAAATTTTTGCGAAAATGTCATCATTATAGAAGTTTGTTCAAATTAAAATTTTAAAAAATTAACATATAAATGTCTTTTAAATTAAAAATAAAACAGCAATTCTCAAAAACATGGGCAAAATTGTGGGTAAAAATGTAACTCCCCCATACTTTGACTTTTAAGGCTCAGTTGCAGTCCTGTAAGGCAAACAATTAAAAGAGAAAAATCCAATGTAGAGCCAATTTTTACCAGGTAAATCACAGTGTGGGAAAATATCAGAAAATTGTGGCCTGCACTTGGCTTTTTGAAGAAGAAGAAAATTTGAGTATTAAAGCCAGCAGACTTCCTTCTCTTTGATGGAATATATGGACGTTTCTCTTTAAATATTTGAACTGGTTTATTCTATTAACATAGGTTTTAAAATCTAGTCAGAGGATTATAAAAAATACATTTTCAAAAGATCTCAACCATAAAGAAACTGTTATATAACTATACTACAATAAGTATAAATACATAATATTAATAGAAAATCCAATAAGGAATAATATTTGAAAAGATTTCTCAAGTCAAAGAAATGGATTACACTCTTCTCACTAGTTTGAATACTCCATTAAAATATACAAAATTCTGTATTGGTATCAAGTTTAAATGTTTTTCGGAAGATTACAAATTCTACTTGGGTTTTCTCTACTGATCACTTGGTAAAATAAAACTTCCTTAACTTCCCTGTAAAAAAGCTGTAAATAATTTAAACGTTTTATTTCTTTTCACTTATTTAACTTGAAATAAATAAAATCTATAGTCAATATCGAGTTTTAATCATTTTTTTTAGCTTTGTGGTAGAGATTCGTTTATTGTTCATTTATAGTTCGTTTATAGTTCGTTAACGACCCACTTCCTTCGTTTTTTCCACTTGTTCAAGAAACAATATTTTGCTCGTTATCTAAATTATCGTTTATATTCCATCTTTTTCGTTAGTTTTCTCACTTAACGATTCCACTTAAATAGATTCGTTCAGTTAAATTGCTTTTTGGATAAAATCGTCTGTTCAGTAAAAAAAAACAATAGTTTTTTAAAAGTTTGTTAAAAAATAGTCGGTTCAGTAAAAAAACCCATAGATTTTAAAAAGTTTGTTCCAAAAAAATGTTCGTAAGTAAATCGATAGTTTTTTAAAACACTTTCGGATAATTTGTTCGTTCCGTAAAAAAAACCCGTTTTTTTAAATTCATTCGAATGATTTAAAATAGTTTTTTTTCTTTTACGCTTTGAAAAAACATATCATTTTCATTTCTCCGAACATTCCCAGTCGTTCGTCCATCGTTTGTTTTGGTCTGAACGACACCATCGTTCAAGTAAAATTTTATTTGTTCCAAAAAGCAAGCACATCTATACTTAGTGCTACTACCTTCAAAGTTATTACCTTTTAAATATTGTTCCTGTATTCTGTAACAATGGAACACTGCGGGGTGTTGAGGAACTATAGGAACTACCAGGCCCAGTAAACTATATCAGAACATATAATCATTTTAAACCCGTAAACTATATCAGAACATATAATCATTATAAACCCGTAAACTATATCAGAACATATAATCATTATAAACCAGTAAACTATATCAGAACATATAATCATTATAAACCCGTAAACTATATCAGAACATATAATCATCTTAAACCCGTAAACACTCTAGAATACGATTTACAGGGTTACCCGCAAAGAGTGAGACTTCAGAGACGACTGATGATATCATTTAAATGAATATGTATCCCTACATCCTTGCACGTATTTCTATCTTTAACAAAAGTCATAATTACACATTTAACAAACATTTTTTAAGATGACCAAATTCAAAATCGCTTCATTTGAAGCATTTCAGGTCCCAAAGTCTTATTCTTTGTGGGCAACCCTGTATAAACTTTAAATACATTTAGTTAACAATCATATTTTGTTTGTAACTTACCTGTGGTCGTGGAGTATCATTGTCTTGTTTGTAACTTACCTTAGGTCGTGGAGTATTATTGTTTTGTTTGTAACTTACCTGTGGTCGTGGAGTATTATAGTTTGTAACTTACCTGTGGCCGTGGAGTATTATTGTTTTGTTTGTAACTTACCCGTGGTCATGGAGTATTATTGTTTTGTTTGTAACTTACCTGTGGTCGTGGAGTATTATAGTTTGTAACTTACCTGTGGTCGTGGAGTATTATTGTTATGTTTGTAACTTACCTGTGGTCGTGGAGTCTTATTGTCTTGTTTGCAACTTACCTGTGGTTGTGGAGTATTATTGTCTTTTTTGTAACTTACATGTGGTCGTGGAGTCTTATTGTCTTGTTTGCAACTTACCTGTGGTCGTGGAGTATTATTGTCTTGTTTGTAACTTACCTGTGGTCGTGGAGTATTATTGTCTTGTTTGTAACTTACCTGTGGTCGTGGAGTATTATTGTCTTGTTTGCAACTTACCTGTGGTCGTGGAGTATTATTGTCTTGTTTGTAACTTACCTGTGGTCGTGGAGTATTATTGTCTAAACTCACCTGTGGTCGTGGAGTATTATTGTCTTGTTTGTAACTTACCTGTGGTCGTGGAGTCTTATTGTCTTCTTTGTCTGATGAGAGAGATGTTTTAGAAATATCTTTACTACAGTACTCTAACAAGTGAATCTTCCCACCAACAAACTTCTCTGTAAAGCTCTGTAAATAAACAAAAATTAAAGGGACTGTTCGCGTAATTTTAAGTGACCCTCCATGCATAAAGGATTCCATGATTCATATTGGTACCATTAAAAGCTTTGATCAAGTATGAATAATAAATCAATATTTTTACTTTTAATACTATATGGTTTCAAAAGTGACTTTCGGATGTTTTACTGCAGGAAAACGTACAGAAATCATCAGAATTAAACTAGAAAAACTACAAAATCTTCCAAAATCATTATGATAAGGTGAAAATTTTTAGGTTACCGTTGTGAATCAGGCATTGCCATCTTTGCATGAAGGGTCACTTGAAATTGTACGCTATGCAGTCCCTTTAATATTAACCATTTATGTTTTAGAATTTTATTGAAAAAACTTCAGTGTACCCTGACATGGAGTGTACATTGTGCAGTGATCACATGACTTTACTGGCATTTATTTTGTAGTTAAAAAAATAATGATATCTCAGGCTCCGTCAATTTTCAATGAGACAATTGCAAATTTACGATTAGAGTTGAAGACACAGCGGGCTATTTCAACTTTAAGAGAAAATCATAATTGATTAAATGAAACCAAGATGTACCTGATAGTAAATGATGGATGGGGATTCATAATCTGCTTCATATCTAAACAAAATAATTGGTGTCTTTGCAACCAAATCTTATTTTATAATCTCAATATCTTTGCAACCCAATGCTGTAGACCTTTAACATTTCAAACTTTAAATTCTGTAGGATCGAATATTCAAAGTTTAAAATATCAAAGGTTTATACCATCGTCCATCAGATTGTGAATATATAGGGATTTGACAATTTAAGTTTTTGATAAAAACTCAATTGCAGTGCAAACTTCTTTTTACATAAACTTACTTTATATTTTAAACTGAGATATTTCGTCACAAATCAGAATTGCATGTTACTAAGCTAAGCTTTGACAGAAAACACAGAAATTATCACCAACTTTTTTAAATTAAGGAAACATAATAGGTCACCCAATTTTCATTTTCAATTTTCATGTTTATTATAAAACATTTAAAGATGTTCATGGTTCAATGTTCAAAGATGTTCATGATCAAACGTTGACAGATGTTTATTGTCAAACGTTCAAAGACACCTGAATAATTGTTATAGCCTGAGTACACCTGAATAATTGTTCTAACCTGAGTACACCTGAATAATTGTTCTAACCTGAGTACACCTGAATAATTGTTCTAACCTGAGTTCACCTGAATAATTGTTCTAGCCTGAGTACACCTGAATAATTGTTCTAACCTGAGTACACCTGAATAATTGTTCTAGCCTGAGTATACCTGAATAATTGTTCTAACCTGAGTACACCTGAATAATTGTTCTAACCTGAGTACACCTGAATAATTGTTCTAACCTGAGTACACCTGAATAATTGTTCTAGCCTGAGTACACCTGAATAATTGTTCTAACCTGAGTACACCTGAATAATTGTTCTAACCTGAGTACACCTGAATAATTGTTCTAACCTGAGTACACCTGAATAATTGTTCTTACCGTAGTACACCTGAATTCCCTGTATCCTGGCATTCTAACTTCAACTGTGCTTTAAAATCCTGAATTCAAACCAATAAGAAACTTTTTTTTCTTTTCGGAGATAGAAATGTAATTTGTTTTGATTAGAATTTGAAAGAAAATAGATGAATACTGATTTTCTTCTTTATCTCTAAGGGACTGTAGTTGTATTTCAAGTAATCCTCTATTTATTTATGGGCCTGTATAATTATTTTTTCTTCCTCTTCTCTCAATTCTTTTTATTTGCATTTTTCTTTAAAATTGACTTATGCATTTCAACAACAACAATAAAAGGCGGAAATTGTCAAAATTCAACACATTTAAAGATACAAAATGTCTTTCTTAAAGGTATCGTTGTGTGCAAACCATGCCACTCTATAAATAGAAGATTACTTGAAATTTTCTTAACAGTCCTTTATATAGATTCCTAAGAGTGTTAGAAATCTATCAAATCAGCATTGACCTTTCGACAGTAGAAGCAGAATGATTTTGAGAACAGATTTAACAAAAAAGAAAATATCAAGAATAGAACAAAATCAATTGAAGAAACTAAAGATTGTTTCTTTTGTCAAAAATAATATATATATATATATAAATATAGAGTTGGTTGAGCGCTCTGGTCCCTATTTAATTACCCAATCAAAATTCTTCGGGATGGTAGGACAGCCAGCATTATTTACATTCTGTTGTTTCTTTCCTTAAACTAGTTCACGAACAGTCTAAATATGCGAAAGAAAATGTACACCATCCCTAGACCCCCTTTCCTTGTTTTTTCGTAAATAATGTTTTATTGGTTTTCCTGATATGTAGCGTAGGTTTGAGGTGAGCGCATAGTTCTCCAGATACAAAGACGACCCATTATGGCGGGAACAGGTAATCCTTGACTGTTAAAGGATACTCCACCGTACACTTCCTCCATCTGAGAAAGGATAAGACTTCAGAGACGATCGACTAAACGGAATTTATGTTAAACTTTAGCACTATATAAACTCCGGTTCATTTCAAGTAGCAGGTTGACTTTTAACCAGCTTGAGCAAACTGTACACATATAGACTATATATATAGCAAACTGGGAATGAATCAACCCCTCTAGAGAGATTCTAAGTTAGAAGAATGTTTTCAAAGCAGCAGACTGACCTTGACCTTTAAATTTTAGTTTTTGTTGGACTGTACATTGTTCCATTTTCGGCAGGGTTATGTAAATCAACAGAAGATTCCTTCAAAAAATGGCAAAACCCCATAATTTTGAGATTTTTAAAGAAAAAAATAATGTGATTGGATGTTTTTTCTTCCCAATCAACCAATATTCTTACACTATTCAAAGCATGAAATTATCGTCAGCGATTTCTAAAATAACGACCGTTAATTCGCCTTTAATAAATTGAGATCGTTAATGAACAGTAAAACGCGAAAATCCGTTAACTCATCGGATTATTTAGTTCTTAGCTAAGAACAAAGAGATACCTGAAAAAAGAGATGCATTAAGTTTGAGTATCTATACGGCGAATCGGCTTTGTAATATTGGCATGTTAAGTTCAGAGTCTTTAGGAACTAAGTATTGAATATAGCATTTAGTAATATCATTATACAGAGACTGCAGTAACTATTCTAATTTGCGGATATTTTACTTCACCATTCATTTTGGTAACAATGGATAAAATTAAAGCAGAAAATAAATTTTTGAAAATTTAAATTATTCTTTTAAATTGTTTCCATTCTAATAAACTTCAAAGAACAAAATCTTTTGATTTTTTCAAAGAATTTCAAACTCTCCGTATAATAAATATCATAACATTGTCTCCTGGATTGTGGTTGATTAAAAAAAAACCGCCAAAATTAAGAGACATTGGATGATGGGCCAAACACTTGTTTACAGTTTACACCTCTAATCACCACATGAAAGGTGTATCGTGCGCATGTCACAATAAAAAAATTATATCTGTAAAACAGTTCACATGGGTTCTTCTTTGTTGGTCCAATTTTAAGAATTTATTTGATTACTAAGATATACTTTCTTGGCAGCGATCCTTAATTCTAAATAAGCGTATATAAAATCTCTTGATTGACAAATGCAAAAACGCATTAGAATAGAGTTACAGGGTTACCCACAAAGTATGAAACAGTAAAGACGACCCAAAACTTTAAAAATATGACGATTTTAAGCTTGATTTTTGGTTTCTGCCTTTAATTAAGTATTTTACTTAGTTTATTAAATGGTTAAGCACAGAAATAAACCAGTTTCGGCCTACACAGAACCCTGTAGCAAGAAAATGGACCGAACAATTTCCGTACAATCGTCTCTGAAGTCGTATCCATTGTGGGTAACCATGTATATACATAGATAAACATGTGTTTCTTTAAATAAATTAACACTAGATCTAACCTGGGCCTCGTAATCTGATTTTGTTCCATATCCTCCTTCAATGTCGGAGGTAAGATAAAAAGGATGGATCACTCCGTTGTCATCAGTCCCCATTCCTCCCTGAACAAAATAATAAAGCCAAATTATAATTCTATATGTACAATACTGTGCAAGGAGGCAGGGGCTGCAAAAGCGCCAAGATCCCCGCGAAATTATCTCCGAGCCTCCTCATTTAAAAAAATGACCCTCCATGCCTTTACTGCACTGTATATACCTTACCTTTACTGTATAACCTACCTTCACTATGAATGTGTACTGTATAACCTACCTCCACTATGAATGTGTACTGTATACCCTTTGCAAGGTATAAGTCTGGTGCGAGTTCACCGTTTATATACCAGGCATGTCCATGCTCTCCTAGACCTGGAATAATTATAATATTTAAGAGACATCTTGACGTCTTTATATCGTGCACAACTGCATGGCGTATATTTAAATATCCGAGGTGGGCCAACCTTTGCCGTGCTAGTTTGGACTGTACCGCCAATTTACAATTACTAAAGCGGCAGACCTGTCTGTGTGCTATGCAAGAAAATCAAAAGAAAAAAGTTTTCCGAAAGTAAAATAAAATAAAATAAAATATGAAATAATTTTACTCGGGGATAAAATCTGAGTGTCTAAAAGTCACAAAAGAAAGCGTTATTAAAATCATTTTTATGACTTTTAATAGAACCTTTTTTCAGCATAGTTTTATCAAAATATTATGGGTTTGTATTTGTATTATGATTCAAAACAAGGCAATGTTCTTTCGTTTAAAAAATAAACTTTTAAAGTTTAAATTAAAAACTTTGTTATAACTAACATCATATTATTGTTTGCATTGTTATAAGTTAGTGGCGGTTTTTTTTCTCCCCCCACATCTTACGGTAATAGAGAAATGAGTGTTTGCGACAAACTCTGATTTTAAATTCGTATACCTTGGCAACCAGTTTGAAATATCAAAGTTTATTTTTGCCATCAATGATCAAAGGAAATTTTATGTTGTGGCAAAAACAAACAAGCTTTAAACTCTTTATTTTTCATTTCTCTGAGCTGAACGCTCCTCCCCCCCCCTTTGTTACATACTTAATATTTATTATATCCGAATTTTTTTTTACCAGAAATTCTTGCCATATAATTTGTTCCAAATTAAGCATATGAAAAATAAGAATAATATAGAAAACATAATTATTATGATTACTAATAAATATTATTAATCAAATGATGTTTTTTATTCACCTAATTCATTATAAAGTTTATTTAACAGTTTGAAAAATTCAAAATTGAAATGAATAGTCTAGGGAACATACTGTATTAATGTACTCTACTGCATATAATTTGTGAACATTTATATGATTTGCACACTTTGAACTTCCTTTCAGGCTGAAAGGGACTGAAAAAATTCATACCGAGAGATTCTTTAAATTCCCTTCTAATATATATTCTATTCTCTATGGTGAAAACAATACAGGAATCGAATTTAATGAATCCCAGTAGAAAATTAGGGTTTCCAGCGAACGAAAACTTTAGCGAGCAAATGCGAAATTTAGCGAAAGGTTTCGTTGGGAACGCACCAATGCGGAATTTCGCAAAAAATAATGAAAATCTTTGCGCTTTTTTTTCTAAGAAAAATGCGAAATTTAGGGCAACACGTATATCGCGAAAAATTGTCGCTAAACGATTTGGAAACCCTAATCCTAGGTCGCCGATTTACTTATTCAATCCTTATGAATCGGTGATTAAGGATTTGAACCGGTTTAAGTACAGGGTTATCCAAAAAGAATGAGATTTTCGTTACGACTCTTTAAATATAACATTAACGTTGAAGGTTAAATTGAAGGTCTTTCAACGGTATTTTGATTTGAGAAAGAAACAAGTTTCCAGTTGGCATAAATGTAAGAAAAATGACTAAATAAATTCTGTACAGTCGTCTGTGAAGTCTCCTTTGTAGTTAAATAACTTGGCGTAATCCAATCATAGGCTATTTTGAGGAATAATAGTATAAGTATTTAGATATTTACATTTCTTTAAATATTCAAACACGCAGGATAAATATTAACCTAGTGATGGAACCTCCCAGTTCGAGTCTAACGGGGTCGGAGGGTGTGTTGGTGCTGCCCCAGGGGGCGGTGCACCTGGAGGCGGAGTTGCTCCGGGCGGAGGGCCTAAAAACAAAGAAAAAAGTTTAAGTTGTTTAAATTAGAAAATTTTTCAGTTTGATGCGTATGTTTAAATGTTAAGCAATTCTTTTTAAGTTTTTCAATATTCAGCTCCTAATTTTATAATCCAATTATCTTTGCAACCTAATGTCACTGTTAGTTGTCCATATACACAAAACGTCTAGAGGTTGGGGCTTTTGAATTTAAAACTTTAAATTATTAAAGCAGATTTAATAGTCTGAAATATCAAATTTTATGATGTAAGGATTAGAAAACAAGAGTAAATAGTGAGTAGCCAATTATGCAAAACCAAAGCTAAACGAATGCTTTATTATAATTTACCTTTTGGGAAGAATGGTTTTATGAACTTATTAAGTTCAGGTATTAACTCCAAGGTCGTCTTCTGCCCATCGGCTCTCTGACAATCAATCAATTTAGTTTTGAAAAATTATTCATATTTTACTTAAAAGGCGGGGTGGGGGAAAGGGGAATGTCTTTTTGAGATTTATCTCTCTTTCAATTCTACTGCATCACTGTAAATTGTCCTAATTGGCAAAAAACTCTCACAGAAAATTTCGGGTTTAGAAATAAATCTCTTCTATAAATAAACTTTGCTTTTCATGGTGTCTGTATGTTTGTTTGTTTGTTTATAACCGATAAACGTCAAAACGTTTGAACCGATCGGGCCCAACTTTTTTTGTGGGACCTGACATGATCCCAGGTGACGATTTAAGGATGGTTAGAATTGAAAAAAAAATCCACAAAAAAAAATGATAAATGTTAAAAGTTAATTTAAAGATGGACCCTAAAGCACCATGGAAGCCTAGTATTTAATAAATTATGAAACGAGAATTGTAGATTCAAAAATCCAAAAATGTTGAAATTGAAATTTTTTTTTTTCTATAAGGCATTGATGTTTTTTTTTCTCTAAGTATGGAATAAAACAGTTCAAAAATAGATATAATTTTTTTCAGTTATGACAAATTTAATTAAAATTAAGATAAAATTTTCTTCTTAATTTTTACCTTTGGAAACTGTGCCTGAAGAGCTTGAAGTGCGTCCTTCATGTCCATGCTTGTCGGCCTAGAATTGTCTAGGGCTGGCCTAGGTTCCCCGCCCTCTAGTGAGTTTTTTACACCTGCTGTCCCTGCCTTTATAAGTGTGTGTAAAGTCATCAGATTACCTTTGGAAACTGTGCCTGAAGAGCTTGAAGTGCGTCCTTCATGTCCAGGCTTGTCGGCCTAGAATTGTCTAGGGCTGGCCTAGGTTCCCCGCCCTCTAGTGAGTTTTTTACACCTGCTGCGGGTGGTCTTTGAGGGGGGGTGGGCGGGAGATATGGAGAGGAAAAGGGCTTATATCGTTTTTTATTGTTGAGATATTCATCTTCAGCTGTGTAGGTGTAATCGTAGTTGTAATCATCAGTATCTAGGAAAGTTGAAAAGTACTAAAAATTTTAAATATTTTGGAATTTTGACTTCAAATGTTTACTTCCATATTTTTCTACTGTGATGGTGCGGGGGTGAAATCCATGAGGGGGGAGGGGTACAGTGCCCCCTGTTTTTTACAATAAAAATGCAAATACAAATCTGCTTCCTTTAGTGAATATAAATGTAGAATGATTATCAATTATACAAGGTATTTTTATAGTGTCTTTATGCATTTCGTTAAGAGAAAGATAAAATTCACAAAAACTAAATCATTCAGTAATTATTTAAAAAAAACTATACATTTACGGGATAATTTTAAAATAATGGATAGTTCTACAAAAAGACAGCAGAGCACAGTTTTCTCTCGAACCCAGAAAACCAAGGTCAGGAGGAATTTCCGGAAATTTAATTAAAGTTTTCCCTATAATGGTCAACCAACTCAAATTATAATTTTTACTCTCAGAACATTACTGTCGGGTCGGGTAAACCTTTCCAGTCCCAGTGTGTACTGTATCGCCCGGAAATTGGGTAAATAAAGCAAACACTCAATAGGACTAGCCGGTACAACAAGGTTGACGTGGTCAGACTTTAGGTTGAATTTAATTTTACTGAAGAGTCAGAGGTTCTGTCGTCTTCGTGTAGGATTCTCCAGTATATTGAAAAAGTTTCGCAAATGTATAGTTTTATCTATTGTTGGTTTATTTGTATCTATCTCTGAAGGAAATGAAAAAAACCTTTTCTATAGAATCAAAAAATAAAATATTACCTTCATCGTAATTAAGATCAATTCTTCTAATGGAGTTTTCATCTTTCTCACTTGACCCTTTAAAAAAAACATTTAAAAAAAATGTAAAAAAATCAAAGATAAAAATAAAGCATAACAAAAAAAACCTTTAATAAAATATTTGAAGAAAGAAAATGTAAAAAACCAATCAAAGATAAAAATAAAGCATAACAAAACAAACCTTTAATAAAAACATTTGAAGAAAGAAAATGTAAAAAAANAAGATAAAAATAAAGCATAACAAAAAAAACCTTTAATAAAATATTTGAAGAAAGAAAATGTAAAAAACCAATCAAAGATAAAAATAAAGCATAACAAAACAAACCTTTAATAAAAACATTTGAAGAAAGAAAATGTAAAAAAAACAATCAACGATAAAAATAAAGCATAACAAAACACACTGTTAAACAAGCTTTTACATTTTATCCGTGATATCGAACTAAATTGATGCCACATTACTTTTACGACTTAGTGACCTCGTAGCTTCTTGAGTTTTGATTTTATGCACAGGTATGAGGATAGCAAACTTATCCAGCTACATATTTTTAATTTAAAGCAAGTTTGTTCTTCTTTCTAGCTATTATAATAAGAGGAGTTTACATGATTGAAAGGTTTAATTTTTTATTTTTTATTTAAATTTAAATACATTTACTTCACTTTGACGTGGACTGTCATTATAAATGTGCTTTAAAAATTTTATATCGAGCATTTGTTTAAAATTATCAAGAAAAGAATGTAAAGAATATTTCACAAAATAAAATTAAAATATCAAAGGTTTACACGATCAGGCTGCAACAAAAAAAATATAAAAATTTTGAGTTTGTGGCAAAGACTCAATTTCTTTCATATTCATAACAATCTGTTTGTAGCCTTAAATGAACTGTTGTAAATCTCTAAATGGTTTCGGTTTAGTCGATTTTATACACTTTGCAAGTTTACGTGCACAAATCGAGAAGAGTTTTGCCCATTACTTTTTAAAAACGGACTCTTACTAAAATACTTCATACAGTGAATCCCAGATATATTAATACATTATTAGTTTAATTTAATTCAAGGTAAATTAATAGACCTGAAATATGGATGCAATTGATATATTAATATTAAACTCATTTTTCCGCGGCATTTGATCTTAAATATGTAATACGACATCATAAAAAACTCTTGCTATGTTTTCATATATCTGGGATTATACATGTCCAGGGATACAATGAAATATAATAACTCAGTGAGGAAACAATTTCAAGAAAATTGATCCAACTTTACAAAAAGCAATTAAGATCTAAGTGTACAAGGGCAAAGTGTCAGAGTTTCTTCTAAAAGTACAAAAACATTAAAAATAAGAATCTAAATAAATCTTACCCCTGCCTTTATAAGTGTGTGTAAAGTCATCAGAATAAGATTCAGTGAGCCCTAAAATAATTTAAAAGTAAAGGAATTGAGTCTTTGCCACAAACTCTGCTTTTCTAAATCCTATATCTTTGGATTCCAATGTCGTAGACCTTAGATATTTCAAACTATGAATTCTGTTAGATCAAATAATATAAGTTTGAAATATCAAAGGTTTACGACATTGGATTCTAAAGATATAGTGATTATAAAATCAGAGTATGTGGCAAGGTCTCAATTCCTTTACAAAAAAAATAAAGAGAATGTCGGTAGCTTTTACAAGTTGTTTAAAAAAGATTGTCAATTTTTAAAAGAAATTTCTAAAGAAACTGAACCTTCCCAAAACTCTCTTATTCTTCTATTTTTTAAATCTCGTATTGTAGACCGTTTGCACTATCACGGGGAAAGTGATTAGAGTCAGCGGACGGAACTTAATCTTGCAGGGGTGATATCGATATCCAATGTAAGCGCTTCTAAATTTGTGGATCAATGCTTGATCCCTCAATTAAGATACAAGATATCACCTCCACGGAATATGGAAGAGGAATAAAATTAATCCGTATAGGTCTGCATTAGATGAAGATCAATGTTTAATCCCGAGATTTACAATTCAAAAGTTCTGATGTCAGTTTCGTTTGTTACCAAACCTCATTTTCACATGAACGAAATAAAAGAAAAAAAGTACAATTCCTAAAATAACATGAATCTCGTTCTCTCCCTTCCTTCAAAGATGTTAGGAATGAATGTAAAAAGTTAGACCCCTATCCTGGATTAACAGTGTTAACTCTATTTTATGACTAGTTTATTTTTATGATAATATGGTGGGGTTAAAATTAGAACTGGGTGGAACTGGGGCGATGTGACGTCAGGGAACGGCAGTTTTGAAAAATAAGCGAAATATTCTAATAACAAAAAAGGGAGCTTCACTCTCACAGAAAAACCTTTATTTTTTGGCATTTTCAAGGATATTTCTATCCTTTTTCTGATCGTAAAACAATGATATTCCTGTCAATTTCAGATAGAAAAACAAGGATATTCCTGTCCTTTTTCAAATGATAAGCAAGGATATTCCTGTCCTTTTTCAGATAGAAAAACAATGATATTCCTGTCCTTTTTCATATAGATAAACAAGGATATTCCTTTCCATTTTCAGATATAAAACAAGGATATTTCTGTCCTTTTTCAGATAGTAAAACAATGATATTCCTGTCCTTTTTCATATAGATAAACAAGGATATTCATATCCTTTTTCAGATAGAAAACAAGGATATTCCTGTCCTTTTTTCAGATATAAAACAAGGATATTCCTGTCCTTTTTCATATAGATAAACAAGGATATTCCTGTCCTTTTTTCAGGTAGTAAAACAAGGATATTCCTGTCCTTTTTCAGATAGAAAACAAGGATATTCCTGTCCTTTTTTCAGATATAAAACACGGATATTCCTGTCCTTTTTTCAGATATAAAACAAGGATATTCCTGTCCTTTTTCATATAGATAAACAAGGATATTCCTGTCCTTTTTTAGATAGTAAAACAATGATATTCCTGTCCTTTTTTAGATAGTAAAACATTTATATTCCTGTCCTTTTTCAGATATAAAACAAGGATATTCCTGTCCTTTTTCAGATATAAAACAAGGATATTTCTGTCCTTTTTACTCAGGGAAATGGTTTAAAGGTACCGTTAGAATTGTACAATTAAATTAAACCTGCTGGGGCCCGAGTGAGGGGGCTGTGGGGGATTTAAGAACTTTAATCAAAGACATTGTGCTCTTCTTAATTTAAGAATGCTACTTTTTCATGAAATAAAAGGTCTTTGATAAAAATTTCTATTGAAGAATTCTTTGTAGCTCTGAATCTGATTGAAAAACGTCTCTCTATTGAAAATATATTTAAAATTTTTTTTGAAAAGATTAAAAATTAAATTACTCATTGTTAACCCTTTTAATAATGACCATATTTCATGGGAATCTTATTTTATGCAGTTTTACATATTAATCATGTCATTTATAACTAAAATATGCATTGTCCCCCACATTCCCTTTCTTTTACGTTGCTTGATATGGTCTATATTCTTTTCTAGAATAAAACTGATTCAATTCAACTTCATAAACAAGCAAAAATTGGCCGTTGTTTGACTAACTTTTTTTTCTTTCCAATTTAACTTTAGAGTCAGTTTGTTAATTATCAAAGTCACAAGAAAAGTTATATAAAACAAGGTGAAGTCCCCGGCGTTGCCCATAAAATAAATAAAACACTTTTAAAAAAACCCGTATTGTGGAATTAACATTTTTTTATAACTTATGTGCACCCGGAGGTGCCCTGTTGGAATTTTACAAAAAAAAAATTCAGCCAAAAAAGTCTAGCCCTTGGCCAGACAGCTATGGCTAAGTTATTTATATGGCAGTTTGAATTGCACCCAGCGACCTCCAGGTTTACGTACGATGTGAGGAGGCAGAATGTACGGAAGCTTAAGCCCGAGTATAATTGCACCCCGCTTGACATATCAGTGCTTTATTATTTCGAAAATATATCTCTTTACCTGTCTTGACAACTGTAGGTTGAAGTTTGTGTAACTGTTTCTCTAAAGGACAATTCCAGGTTACAGGTCGACCAAACTCAATATAGATTGGATCTAGGAATAGATAGATAAATAGATAATAACCAAACTCAATATAGATTGGATCTAAGAATAGATAGATAAATAGATAATAACCAAACTCAATATAGATTTGATCTAGGAATAGATAGATAAATAACCAAACTCAATATAGATTGGATTTAGGAATAGATAGATAAATAGATAAATAGAAGACAAAATGAGACTGTGATGATGAACTAAAACTCGTTAGATGGCAATTCCAAGGTAAATTATATCGTTTGCGTTGAAAAAAGTCTTTTTCTGGTGTTTTTAATTGATTAGGTAAAGAATGATAATTGTTAAGGTTGTAGAGAATCAAGAAAACAGACAGAATAAATTCCCTACAGTCGTCTCTGCAGTCTCATTCTAGGATTCTGTGTAAGTAAACCATGTAATATCAATTTTACATTTATGTTACCGTTAAATTGTTTGTATTTTATAATTCTCTTCAATACTATTTTTTATGAATATTAAAGTAATTTTGTAAATTTCTTTAAAAACAAGTTTTGGAAAATACACAAGCTTCGCCAGCGGTGGCTCTCCGCCTTGAATCATTAAATCAATGCATGGATCCCTTAATTAGATTAAAGTTCTCCATGCAGGGTATGACCACTACGGGATATAAAAGAGAAAGTAACGGAATTGAGTATTTGCCACGAATTCTGATTTTCTAACCCCTGTATCTTTGTAGACCTTATATATATATATTAATTCTGTTATATAAAATAAATCTTTAAGTTTTATATTATCAAAAAATTACAAAATTAAGTTGCAAAGATTAGAGGAAGATCAAAGTTTAATCCTGAGATTTACAACACAAAAGATCCCACTTCAGGTTACTAGGTACACAATAGTTCCTACTTCAAGTTACTAGGTACACAATAGTTCCTACTTCAGGTTACTAGGTACACAATAGTTCCTACTTCAGGTTACTAGGTACACAATAGTTCCTACTTCAGGTTACTAGGTACACAATAGTTCCTACTTCAGGTTACTAGGTACACAATAGTTCCTACTTCAGGTTACTAGGTACACAATAGTTCCTACTTCAGGTTACTAGGTACACAATAGTTCCCACTTCAGGTTACTAGGTACACAATAGTTCCCACTTTAGGTTACTAGGTACACAATAGTTCCCACTTCAGGTTACTAGGTACACAATAGTTCCCACTTCAGGTTACTAGGTACACAATAGTTCCCACTTCAGGTTACTAGGTACAAAATAGTTCCCACTTCAGGTTACTAGGTACACAATAGTTCCTACTTCAGGTTACTAGGTACACAATAGTTCCCACTTCAGGTTACTAGGTACACAATAGTTCCCACTTCAGGTTACTAGGTACACAATAGTTCCCACTTCAGGTTACTAGGTACACAATAGTTCCCACTTTAGGTTACTAGGTACACAATAGTTCCCACTTCAGGTTACTAGGTACACAATAGTTCCCACTTTAGGTTACTAGGTACACAATAGTTCCTACTTCAGGTTACTAGGTACACAATAGTTCCCACTTTAGGTTACTAGGTACACAATAGTTCCTACTTCAGGTTACTAGGTACACAATAGTTCCTACTTCAGGTTACTAGGTAAACAATAGTTCCTACTTCAGGTTACTAGGTACACAATAGTTCCTACTTCAGGTTACTAGGTACACAATAGTTTCCGAATGTTAGCATACAAAAGTCAATTTTAATACAAAGGAATTGAGTCTTTGCCACAAACTCTGATTTTCTCTTCCCTATATCTTTGCACCCAATGTCTTAGACCTTTGACATTTTTATATAAGTTTGAGATATCAAAGGTTTACTACATTGGGGTCCAAAGATAGAGGGATTAGAACATTAGAGTTTGTGGCAAAGACTCAATTCCTTTGTTTTAAAATTGACTTTTTTTATGATAACATTCGGAAACGTCTGATTTACCTTGATTTTTAAGAGGTTTGTTATTCATTCTAAGATCCGCCTTCTTATACCCTACAGACCAAAATACTTCCTACAAAAAAAGTAATTAGCATAATTGCTGATAGCATTCGGTAAGCTGGATATTACAAGCAAAATGTGCCAAAAAAATTTTTATTATCATAAATATCAGCTTGATTATGGAGTATGGAATATACAAGGTGAGAAAAAAAGCCGGGATTGGCAATATTTACATAAATTGTTTTTTTTTTGCAGAATTCATGTTTTAAACGAAAAAAATGTAAACTGTAGACGAAAAAAAAACATTAGAAATCAACAGTAATGTTTTTCAGAAGAAAATAGGCCTGAAGTACCGTGCACTTTAAATTATTTTGGTTTAGTAATTTGCAAAATCATAAAAACGGTATTACGTCTGAATATTCATTTTTCTTTTATATTGGCATAGTTCGTTGCACGTTGCAAATTTCATTTTTCTTTTATATTGGCATAGTTCGTTGCAAGTTGCAAATTTCATTTTTCTTTTATATTGGCATAGTTCATTGAAACTTTCAAATTCTCATTTTTTTAATATTTGCATAGTTCATTGAAACTTTCAATTTCTAATTTTTCTTCAATATTGGCATAGTTCCTTGCAACTTGAAAATTCTCATTTTTCTTTCATATTGGCATAGTTCATTGCAACTAGTAAATTCTCATTTTTCTTTCATATTGGCATAGTTCATTGCAACTTGCAAATTTCATTTTTCTTTCATATTGGCAAAGTTCATTGCAACTTGCAAATTTCATTTTTCTTTCATATTTGCACAGTTCATTGCAACTTGCAATATCTCATTTTTCTTTCATATTTGCATAGTTCATTACAACTTGCAAATTCTTATTTTTCTTTCATATTGGCATATTTCATTGCAACTTGCAAATTCTCATTTTTCTTTCATATTGGCATAGTTCATTGCAACTTGCAATATCTCATTTTTCTTTCATATTAGCATAGTTCATTGCAACTTACAAATTCTCATTTTTCTTTCATATTGGCATAGTTCATTGCAACTTGCAATATCTCATTTTTCTTTCATATTGGCATAGTTCATTGCACCTTGCAATATCTAATTTTTCTTTCATATTGGCATAGTTCATTGCAACTTGCAATATCTCATTTTTCTTTCATATTGGCATAGTTCATTGCAACTTGCAATATCTAATTTTTCTTTCATATTGGCATAGTTCATTGCAACTTGCAATTTCTCATTTTCTTTCATATTGGCATTGTTCATTGCAACTTTCAAATTCTCATTTTTCTTTCATATTGGCATTGGTCATTGAAACTTGCAAATTCGCATTTTTCTTTCATATTGGCATTGTTCATTGAAACTTGCAAATTCTCATTTTTCTTTCATATTGGCATTGTTCATTGCAACTTGCAATATCTCATTTTTTTCAATTTGTATTGGTCATGGCAACTTTCAAATTCTCATTTTTCTTATATATTGACATAATTCTTTGCAACATGCAAATTCTCATTTTTCTTTATATTTGCATAGTTCATTGCAACTTGCAAATTTCATTTTTCTTTCATATTTGCATAGTTCATTGCAACTTGCAAAATTCTCATTTTCTATTCTAGTTAACACAAATTCCCACACTCTAATGTTACAAGCTAATTTCTGCTGAAAATTATAGTTTTATCTTTAACCCTCAGCTCTTGGAGTTTAAAACATTCCCATCAAGTTTTCAGAAACATTTATTTTTAATATTCTTTAAACTCGTGATGACATTAAATGTTTGTTGACTTGAATTAGAATAATTATTAAAAGGAGAGTTGGCGATATAATTTTACAATCATTTATATATGAAGTTTAAATCTATGTTTGAGAAAAAATAATAAGGATACCTTTATTTTTTCAGACTTTAAGTTTTTATTTTGTGTTTTAAAAGAGAGCTTAGTATTTTTATGCAGCAAAGACAAGCCAGGACATTGACAAAGTTAATCAGTAGATCAGCTGTTCTTTGAATCGGATTTAATTTTTATTTCACCTGTTTTCCCTTGGAGGAAATAGAAACATCATAGGGATCTGCAGAGAGCAAAGGTCTAGAAAAAAAAATTAAAATAGGAATTATGAAATAAAATATGGTAAAATAATATTTCTAATCTATATAATAAAACAAGATATTCGTATAAATATATGTTGCGTATAGCCAGCCAAAAGGCTAGACCGATTGGGCTAAAATTTTTTGTGGAAACTCATAGGTGGTCGGGGGGTGTTATAGGCTAAAAAAAAATTTTCCAGGGACAACGCCCGGCCCTTCAGCAATTTCATAATAAATCATAGTTTCTACAGGTTTTTAAACATTCAAAATGCTGATACTGTATAGATAATTTACAATTATTTGAGATGCAAAATCAAATTTTAAAATTGCACGCTAGACAAGTTTGTTTTTATTACGCAAAGCTAAATGTTTACCCTGATCAAACATATTTTCCAAAGCGATTAATAAAATCGTTTCCGCGTCAAACTAAACTAATGGAGATACGATGTCATAAAATCGTGCAAGTAATATCACATACATTCTATCTTCTCCGTATGTCTAGTTAGCAGTAGTATCATCATAGATTAATAACAATACAGATAGAACACTAGATGTCGTCTTTTCAAGATTTAATGGTTTTTTGTTCACAAACACCCTGAGACTGAAGCCCGAAAGAGTTACGCGCATGCTCCCTCTCTATCTTGTCATTTAACGCAGCATACACGTAACTCCTTTGGGATTCTAGCTCATAATAATAGTGAACGATTTAAATCTTGAAAAGAAGACATCTAGTGTCGTATCTGTATTATTATTAATCTATATGGATATCATGCCATTGTAGACTAAGAAGATACAAAGTGGCAAAATATTTAATTTTGAAATGCAGTTATGCACTGTAATCTTGCCAGGCTACATTTGTTGCATAACACGTTCTGGGTCGACTCTATACTGGGAAATCCAGACTGGATAGTACGACTGAATGAATATACGGACCATGTTATACCGACTCGGATCAAGCTACTTATAGTGCGATGACGTAAGCTCAAAATTTAGAGCACCAAAGTTCAAAGAACGTTATTGGAAATTTGTAAAAATCTACCTTTGTTTTATTTCAAAGGTTGCAAATATATTTCTCAATACATACATCCTTTTCTAACTATCTATCCAACTTTAACCCCATTTACGGCATCATTTTTAACTTTCGGCTTTAAAAATATTATGCTTTGAAATGAAGATTCTAAAGTTTTATGACACAGTGACCCAATGGTTGCAGACTCTCGCGGAAAAAGTGATGCGAATTACTTGTTAAAAAATGAAGCTAAAAACAAGTGTTATATAGTTATAAATGTACAGGTCTAGTGCTACCTAAAATGTTCATGTCTAGGGCTACCTAAAATGTTCATGTCTAGGGCTACCTAAAATGTTCTTGTCTAGGGCTACCTAAAATGTTCATGTCTAGGGCTGCCTAAAATGTTTAGGTCTAGGGCTACCTAAAATGTTCATGTCTAGGGCTGCCTAAAATTTTTAGGTCTAGGGCTACCTAAAATGTTCATGTCTAGGGCTACCTAAAATGTTCATGTCTAGGGCTACCTAAAATGTTCAGGTCTAGGGCTACCTAAAATGTTTAGGTCTATTTCTACCTAAAATGTTCATGTCTAGGGCTACCTAAAATGTTCATGTCTAGGGCTACCTAAAAGTATGAATAAGTTACTGAGGTAAAATCATAGGGCTAGGCGTTACGACACTTGAAATTCAACCAAGTCCTCATGAGCAGCCTGGATCTATGTGAAAAGGACAAAACATTTTAAGTTTTCTCTCCTTCTTTTTTTTGTATCGAGGCCAGTGGTATAATTATGCATATTACGGATTTAATCTTTAAACAGCTAAATTTATCTTAGCTCTAACTTTTCAAAGATAAGGTTTATCTTTATTACCAAACTTTAATACCCGTCTAGATTGAGTTCTGGTTTTTAAATCTTGGAATTAGAAGACTTGTACTAAAACTACAGAGTTTAAGTTGTACGCCGGTTTAAGATCATAATAGACGTGGTTCAACCTAGTTCTCAATTGTGCGCCGGTTTAAGCTCATAATAGACGTGGTTCAACCTAGTTCTCAATTGTGCGCTGGTTTAAGCTCATAATAGACGTGGTTCAACCTAGTTCTCAATTGTGCGCCGGTTTAAGCTCATAATAGAC